TGTGGTATGAAATTTGGCCATTCATTTCAATAACATCTATTTACACTTATAGGCCCCGTTATTGTCTGTATCGCAGCCTTTTATCAATGTTTTGTATCTCTTTTATTTATATGTCATGCTACTACAATCTCAGAAATTTTATTCCAAATTATCCAATAGTCACTTCAATTTTTCTTACAAGATGTTGACGTTGACTACTTTTGCAATCTATATAATATTACAATGGCAGATTTCTTGAATTATCTACCAATTGAGATTGTTCTTACATTCCTCACGCTATTGATTGATCCCCTACACTGATTCGATTGTCTTCTGCTTGTCGCACCTGGTACCATTTCGGTGAGTTTTTAAATGCACACATTTACTGTTATTGAAGTTCTTATCAAATAGACTCAACAAAGGCACTTGATCGTTATATGTTGCATACGCTCTTTGTCTACTAGCCTTATTGACTTCAGCAAGTGAGCACTTAATTTTGACATGTTGCATTTATGTAATTATCATATAGTGTGAAGTTATGACGGACTTAACCTTTACATTGTTTTTTCAACACCTACTCAATATTTCTATAACCGTTTGAGGTACTCTTGTGTAAATATTCAATTTTCACATGATCATTAATTCTTCACATAAATATTACATGATTAAGAATATAATAGCAAATACTACAAAGAGAAACAGCAAAGCATGACTGCCACAAATACTAATATATTCATGCAGACTGAAATGCTAAACACTAGTACAAACAAAATAGCAAAAACAAAAACGAGAAACACCTGGAGAAGATTCCGCTGCAATATCAGTTACCTCTTTTACTTGCATTCGACTTTGGCTTCCTACTGTCTGCACATCATGTGTCCTGACCAGGACACACTCGATCGAAAAACCAAACAGAAACGCAAATTTCATCGACAAGAGCCATCAAACCTAGGTAAAATCGAAGAGGAACCTGAACCTGAACCTGAACCTGAGCATCCTTCCTAAGCAGGAGAAACCAGCAAGTCACTTCTTAACCCTTATCTTCCCCTCCAAACACTTTTTTTCACCTCCAAAAACTTTGATCTCCAGCTCAAACACCCACCAAATTCATTGATTATGACCCAATTTCGGTTTTGGTCATGTTTTTGAAAAATTTCGAAACACTTCATTCGTCTTACCCCCTCTCCCTTCCACTCTCTTATTCTCACCGGAAAACCTTTCAGGAGCCCTCCTTCAAATCAACAATTTGTCAAAGGAAAGTTTGCAGCCGGTGCTGAAAGATTTCTGATTGATGATTAAAAACAAAATTACAAAGCCTATTTATACACAAAAGAAAAGGCTAAGAAAGGTAAATTAACACAATTTCTCCTAAACCAATGCAAGCAAGATTATTTCCTAGAGCTAATGTTTAGCCATGAATGTGTCTTAGACAAATCCAAACTAATGACATGATATAGGCTAATTTCTAGCATGGTTACATTTTTGTAATTTATTTATTTATTTTAGAAAATGAATTACTATAATCCTCCGACTTTTATTTTTTAGATCAAGTTTATTTCTCAACATGATCATGGATGTACTTTTTCGAGCTTCGTCTCCTTTTTTTTTGCTTTACCTGAATGAATGATTAATTTATTCATCGATGTTTTCTAACTCAATTTCTTGCAGATATTTGGCGGCATCGTACTCTTCTTGTTTGATTTGTGTTTGATTTGGGTGATCTAAGCAGGTATACATATGTGATCTTCTTTCTTTATCTCTTAGATTTTCAGAATTAAAACTTGTGTTTCAAGAAATGAAATGCTTATTTATTTACTTTTTTATATATATAAAAAAAAAGAAAAACCCATCTTCCTTTACCTAATATTATATTCTCTTTCTTTTCAAAGTTCTTTGATTTTCGTCGATGTTATTTTTTTTTTATTATTTTTCAATATGTGATGTTTTGGAAGTTAAGTTTCCCCCTTCGATCAACCTAACTAAATTTATTTCTAAAACAATCATCAATTTGATTTTTACCATTACGATACTTACACTATTGATTGATTGATTCCCCGGATACGATCGCAACGTCTTTCTTAGTCGCGCTTGGTTCAACGGCGGGGTTATCTTGACGTAAGTTTGCCTTGTTAGTTATTTAAATGCACTAATTTATTTTTATTACAGGTCCTATCAAGTCCAATCATGGATTGTCTGGTAGCTGGTTGTCAAGTTTATTTATTTGTTTTCATTGATGTCATTAAGTGAATTTGCACATTGTGTTATGTTGACGTCTTTGCGCTTATTTTTCACTCTAGGAATATATTGTTTTAAAAGAAAATAATTTTTAGCTACGTAAGTATCTCCTTGATCTTAATCTTATGCATTAGGTAGATTTTTATTGTGTTGGTTGGAGTTATGTGTCACTTAACTTTCATATTTTGTTTTCCTTTTCCAACACCTACTCACTGTTTCAACAAATGTTTGATCAAATATTACATAGTTTGATAGTATTTTATTATTTGATGTAGTATAAACATTTGTTAACTTAGATTCTTAGTAAAGTGTAAAGGTTCAATTACACATGTTCATTAATTTTTCACAACTATGTTTTGGATATGTAAGTAATTGGGATATGCTTCATTATCTTAAATTTTCACATAAATGTTCGGTGTATAAGAATATATTAAAGAAAAAAGATAATATAAAATACTGAAAAGAGATTAAGGAAAAAAATCTTATTTTTTCATCAAAAGACATAAGTGATTTTGAAGCTTTTGCCATTGCTAAGTATTAAATTTACTAATACTCTATTATCTCCCAACATTGCGTCTATATTTTTGGAGGGAGCTTGCTTATATAGAAAGAGAAAAGGTTGCTGGTATTTACATTTAATTTTATATAGTTACGTATTTTGTTAAACATAACGAACTACTTGATTATTTGATAGATGAACAACTATGACTGTTTGTATTTTATATTTATTTTTATTTATAATTTCTTGAAATAGTGTAAATGAAGCATTTGTCTTTTTAAAGGTTCAAAGTGAATGTTGTAATATGTGTCCTTACATTATGATATATCTTGCTTTCTATTATTGAAGTATTACTATTATTATTATTATTATACATATTTTTTATAAATGTCATATAGTAATATAAATATATAATTAGATTCTTCTGCCGGAGGAACTCCATCTGTCCTACGTGATATATATACATACTAACATACTAGACATTTACATATTCTTTTCACTTATCAAATATTATTTTGCTTTGGAAGGACTTCATCTTTCTTACATATTATATAACATACACGCTTATAGTTGGATGTTTGTCCTTTGGTATGTAGTATACTTTTTTGGGATCGGAGCCGATAAGTTTTTTGAATAAGTTTTCATGTGTATCATCATGTTGTCGGAAGCAACAAGTAATGGGTAAATTCTGGCACTCTAACATATTGAACGCAGTCTAAAGAAAATTAAAGATCCAAATGTCCATTTAATTTTTTCACGGCAGCTAAGGAGTGCGGATTTATTGCTAGTAATATGCATGGTGTCTTTTTTTTCTTTTTTTTTTTTTTGTTTTTTGTTTTTAAGCATTTCACTATGTTTAACCCCTCTGTATTGTTATGTAGAATAATCATCAATCAATCACTACAAGAAAATATCATTTTTGTAACGAGATTTTTTCGTCATTAAATTCACTATTTCCGTTACTAATGATATTAGCGACGTAATTAATGATGGAATTACGTTAGCTACGTGATCTTTAGTGACGGAATTCCGTTACAAATATACTTATTTTTTTTGTAGTGAATGGATAAGAGAAGGGAATTGCCATCTCCGTCAATGACCAATATGGACGACGGAAGGGCTGGTTCATTGAGCACTGGCAGAGTCCAAAGACATGACGAAAGACACATTTCTTTTGACGATAAGGTGCTAATAGATTAACAAAGTTTATAAAATGAGCTCAATGATTCAATTAGTTCGCACAATTAGATATTGAATGCCTTTTATGAACAATTTCTTCACTAAATATGCATTCAGAATCTTTTATTCGATACTCAAATTGAACTTTTATGGCCTGCCGGTCGATGAAGAGCTTCAAACAGCTCAAACTGAAGGATGCACTGACAGGAACCAAGACCTGTCCTGTATGGAGGATCGGAGGAATCAAGCAGACAATTATGCTGCATTATTTGGGCCTGAATTGACCGTCCCTTAACTAGAGGACCACTCCGATGGGGGCATTGCCGACACCCCCTCCAGTACAATGGCTCCCATAGAGAAGGGGAAAGAAGTGACTAATTTGAGTGAGGATTTGCGGGATATTGTCTGCGGAGGAAATGCTGACGATGGCATTCGGGTACATGGTGACAGTTCTTCTGGCATTGGAGGTCGGATTCGATCTCTAAGTAGGACCAATAAATGCCAGTCGTATGAGTTGAGTGATTTGTCTGGCCATGAAATTGGGAACTTCATGGGTGATGAGGATGATCAAGACTTTACTCTGGCGAGGAGGCAAAAACGGAAGAATCAGAAAAGAAGTGAAACCGAAAAGGATAGCGCGCCAGTTAAGGCTTCAGGGCAGCGCTGCAATGGAACGCCGAAAAGAAATATGCCAGTGAACGCTCCGCAGAGGAAGAGAAAGCAGAGGAGGGTTGGTGGCGATGATGATGACCGAACAGTCAAGGCAGGAGCACACCAAGTCTCAGCCTCAAATGCCCAGAGCCCGAAAGCTACACGGATTTGCAAAAGTGGCGGGGATGGAGAAGATATGCCGTATTGTCATAAGGAGATGACAAACTTTATGACGGGAGCTAAAGCGAAGAAGCTAAAGCCTAAAAGATTTGACATCTCCAAAATCCTTAGGGAATCTATTATCGGATAACCGTCTCGATCAATGCATACTGGAGAAGGGAATGGGGCGGCAGATGCAGCTGAAGGCTACCCTCCTCTTCCAAAGAAGATTCGGTTTGAGGACTATGTCGTGCCACTCACAGAAGAGGGACAGAGATAAGCTGAGCGGGCGGAGGAGATGGAAGACTTGTTTGAAGAGTTCAACTTTAGTTGTGCTGTTGAGGAAATAGGAACGACTGCCAGCCGTGAGGTAAGTAAATCATTTCCAGCACTTGTGTAGAATAATTCAATATTCAAACAATAGACAAGAACTGATTTGACATGGATTGAGAACTAAATCGGAACTATATTATTCAGGAAGTGAAATGATAACTAATGATCAATTCATGGCCTGCAGGTTCTTGGAGTAGACGATGAGGAGGAGGAAGAGACTCAGGAGCGCAGGTGTGCTCGAGGGCTGCATGAATTGATATTAGAAGATGATCGAGGATGGTTTTGTATCTATTGTCAGCATGTGACGATTCAACCGAAGGATGTAATTCCTCCATAGGTAAGTATATATCAATTTCTTCCTTAAATAACTGAAATCAGAAAACCGTCCGACTATGGGGAACATCAAAATTGTTCCTTTTAATTAATTATCCACCATCCCTAATTCTATGCTAATTTGTTATCTGAATATACGTCAGTGCAATTTTAGGTTGATTTAAAATTTGTGCAGCTACCCTTATTTATACCACTTCTTCTTTCTTTCTTTCGCAGGCGATCAAAGCTCGTAATGCTTCCGGAAAGAAGAAGCAGGAGAAAGGGAAGGGTCTGGATCTTAGCGCCGTTAATCTCCCAGAAGCTGATGCAGCGGATATAAGAAGCTGGACTAGCGGCTCAGTGTGGAGCATCAAGGCTGGTGTGCGGGAAAGTATGTACGAACACCAGCAAGAAGGAACTTGGCAGGCAGTACCGATATTGCTGATTTAAAGAACTCAAATCTAGTTGGAGAGGGCGGATGCATCATTTCTCATGCCCCAGGGACAGGAAAGAAACGTCTCATGATCGTATTCCTTGAGACATATCTAAAGATATATCCAAACTATCTTCCAATGATCATCGCCCCGGCTGGATTGCTTCAGAACTGCGAAGGGGAGTTCAGGAAGTGGAATTCCGGGTTTAATTTCCACAACCTGAACAATCTGACAATTATCAGCGACGAGATGGCGGCTGCTGATCATCTCCTTCAAGGAACGAGTATCAGATGCAGGGACATGGAGGCAATCCAGATGGTAAAGATATATTCATGGAAGAGAGGGGGAGGCCTTTTGGGGATTAGCTACATTCTGTTTGAGAAGCTGACGGCGCAGAAAAACGTGGAAGCAGATGCAGGCGAAGAGGGGCAGAGGTCGGGTGTTGAAAAGAACTTCGAAGTTCTGAGGTCGATACTTCTTGAGATGCCTGGACTGGTGATTCTTGATGAAGGCCATACTCCACGCAACCGCCGGAGTAAAATTTGGACTTCACTAGTTCAGCTCAAGACCGAAAAGCGTGTTATATTGTCTGGGACTCTTTTCCAGAACAACTTTAGAGGGCTGTTCAACTCATTGAAGATCGTAAGGCCTACAGTGGCAGAGGCAGCTATGCAGGACCCGACATTCACTGAGATTCTTCATTCAGATAGGAAACGCCGGAGGTCTAGGCATGCTTTACTTCCGGAATCCATCAACCGTGCAGTGGAGAGGCTTAAAGTCTCAATGTCGCCATTTGTGCATGTGCACAAAGGCTCTATCCTGCAAAAGAGTCGTCCCGGATTAAGAGACTGTGTCGTCTTCTTGAAATCGACTCGATTGCAAAAGAATCTGATCGACTGGTTGGAAGGGGAACGACTAAGGAAAACAATTAAGAGTTCAGATTTTGGATTTTCTTTGGTATCTGTTCATCCGTGCCTTATCCAACGATGCAAGTCGCAAGTGCCAACTGATGGAATTGATATGCAAGCAACCGAGGCATCAAAGCTCAATCCCAAAAAAGGAGTCAAAACAAAATTCATCATCGAGTTTGTCCGCCTCAGTATGACGCTGAAGGAAAAAGTACTCATCTTCAGCCAGTACCTTCCGCCCTTGGACCTGATCGAAGAGCATCTGACCGCGACCTTCCAGTGGAATGCCGGGAAGGAAATTCAGAGGCTGGAAGTAAAGCTAGAGAAGAAGCAACGCCAGAATGTGATGAACGCATTCAACGATCCAGAAAATGATTCGAAGATCATGCTGGCGTCGACGAAGTGCTGCTCTGAGGGCATTAGTCTGGTTGGGGCTTCCAGGGTCATTCTGCTGGACGTTCTCTGGAATCCTTCTGTCCAGCAGCAAGAAATCTGTCGAGTAGGATTGGGCAAAACAAGTTTGTCCATACCTACCATCTTATGACTGCTGGCACGACTGAGGCGGACAAATATTGCCGGCAAGCTGAGAAAGAGCGGCTATCCGAATTAGTATTTTACTCTTCTTCAAATGAAAAAGATATCTCAAAGCAGCCGATGCCGGAGATTGAGGACAAGATTCTTGAGGCGATGGTCAAGCACGGAATGACAAAAGACATGTTTGAAAAGATCATCCACCAGCCAAAAACCACAGACTTGATCCAATCCTTAGGCCTCAGAGGTTGAGAATGCTCCCGGAAGTATTAAGGTACGGCTTGAGTGAAATTGTTTTTGAAGAAACAAATTGAGTTGATTGATTCATTTTTGTTTGTGAATTGTTTGGCTCATTTTCTGGAAGAAATAGAATGTGAAAGAAGCTTTTTTGTTTATTTTCTTATGAATTTTAAAATTTTGTTTTTCTTATGAATGCTGCAGTTGAATTGTTGCGATAAAGCAGGGAATCCTAATGGGAACGGACTGCAGGCACCCGATGGTCTGTCTCTTTCTCTGTTTCTTATCCTTCAGTCGAAGCAAACACTAATGTTTCTTCCTCCTCTGTCTCTGAAAATTTTTTCTTGGATGGACTGTCGGACAAGTATAGTTATTTCATGAAATGAGAGCAGCCAAGACAGCAGCAGTCTCATCTTGTTTGTGGACACCAAGCCTAAGGATGATATCCCAATGTCTCCACTTTAACATAACAAAGACTCCTCTTCTTGATATGTAGTAAGTACAAGTACAATACTTCTGTTTTTCTTCATACATGCTCCCTCTCTCACTCTCTCTCTCTCACTATATATTATTTTTTCCACGGCAGAAACAATAAATGATGGATTGTAGTTTGTATAGGTTTCTTATGAATTTTCAAATTTTGTTTTTCGACGGATGTTTGGTCTGATATTGCTAAATCTGTGTACCGGGAAAGTGATGGGGGTGAAAGGACAGTGATCCTTCTGATAAAGCAGAGAAACTTGCTGGCAACCGCATGTCATCTAGAGCTAACTACAGACACCCGACGGTCTGTCTGTTTCTCTGTTTTTTATCCGTAAGTGGAAGTGAACACTAATGTTTTCTTGAAGCTATCCGGTTTCTCCGCTGTCGCTGAATATTTTCTTGGATGTAGAGGCATAGTTATTGCATGAAGACTGTCGCCGAGAGCAGCCAAGACAACACCCAGTCCTGTCTTGTTTGTCGCACAAAGGCTAAGTATATTAACAAAATGAGGACTCGTCTCCACAATACTTAGTAAGTAAAAATACAATACTTCTGTTTTTCTACATACATGCTTCCTCTCTCACCTCTTCCACACAATACATTATTTATGCGATGGGTTATATTGTTTCCGAAAGAAGTTTTGATTATTTACATTTTTTTCCACGGCAGAAGCAAAAACTGGTGGATTGTAGTTCATATAGGTTTCTTATGAGTTTTAAATTTTGCTTTTCGACGGATGGCTGGTTTGACATTGTTAAATCTGTGTACCAGGAAAGTGTTCCGATTGAAAAGACAGTGATCGTTGCGATAAAGCAGGGAAAGTTGCTGGCAACCGAAGGTGCGTTGTTTCTTGTCCTTAAGTAGAGATGAACTCTAATGTTTTCTGAAGCTATTCCCTTCCTCCTCCGTCGCTGAATATTTTATTGGATGGACTGTCCGACATGCATGGTTATTTCATTAGGATGGTGGACGAGAGCAGCCAAGAAAGCAGCAGTCCCATCTTGTTTGTTGACACAAAGCCTAAGGATGATATCCCAATGTTTCAACATAATAATGGTGCCCGGAGAGTATGGGAGCACTTTACGGCGCTTTTCAGGCTATCTTTGCCAATGACACATACACTGCATCTACTTGTGTCTTCGTGGAGGCTTTCTTCGGCACACTCTCAGAGTATCAGGGCGTATGTTCCGTTGTTGGTACTATGGTTCATCTGGATTACTCGGAACGATGCGAAGCACATGCGGGTTCGTGTATCTTCCGAGAAGATCATTTGGTCGGATTCATTCACACTTGCAGACTCTTTGGTAAGCTAGGATTCTCTTATGTCGACATTGGGCGGGTGACTTTTATATAGCAGATGGTCTTGGATTTCGATACCCCCTCCGATTCCTCGGCCTCCGATTATGGTGCGATGGGAGGCACCGTTTCCAGGATGGTTCAAGCTTAAAACCGATGGTGCTTCGCTTGGCAATCCTGGAGCAGCAGGAGCGGCTGGTATTATCCGAGATTCAGCTGGGGCAGTACTCATTGCATTTCAGACTTGAATTCCCCAGGCGATGAACACCTTGGCAGAGCTGACAGCGATTCAGACTGGAGTAGGGATAACGATTGACCAATGATTGATGCCGTTTTGGATCAAGACAGACTCGACGGCATGCATCTCTCTGATCTCCACCGAGACGAGCCACTGGACTCTCCAACGATGCCTTATGTGTATTCAGTTGCGGCTTAGGGATGCGACTTGGAGGATATCGCATATATATAGAGAGGGGAACCGCATCGCAGATGCCTTAGCGACTTTGGCGGTTTCTCTCCCGATTGAGCTTACACTTCTCCCTTCAGATATTCCTTCGTCGATTAGAGGCCTCCTTCGAACGGATGCTGACGGTCTCCCGACCTTCCGCTTCAGGTAGCAGGCTTTACCCTATTCCTTAATTCTTGATTTAGCCTTGATAGATGATATTTAGACTTGATATCTTAGTATTTGATTTCGATGCCTTAGGCATTGATACTTAGACTACTAGCTTGTCTTTTCTGTTTGCTTTACTGAGACTATATAGCTTGTATATAGAACTACGTATGGCTTGATCCCGTTAGGGTACGTAGGCAGCCCACTCTGGGTGCAGCCACTCCTTTTCGGCGGATGACTGGTTTGATATTATTAAATCTTTGTGCCAGGAAAGTGCTGCGGCTGAAAAGATAGTGATCGTTGCGATAAAGCAGGGAAAGTTGCTGGCAACCGAAGGTGCGTTTGTTTAGCTGTTTCTTGTCCTTTAAGTAGAAATGAACACTAATGTTTTCTGAAGTTATTCCCTTCCTCCTCCGTCGCTGAATATTTTATTGGATGCACTGTCCGACAGGCATGGTTATTTCATTAAGATGGTGGACGAGAGCAGCCAAGAAAGCGGCGGTCCCATCTTGTTTGTTGACACAAAGCCTAAGGATGATATCCCAATGTTTCAACATAAACAAAACAAGGACTCCTCTCCTCAATATGTAGTAAGTACAAGTACAACACTTCTCTTTTTCTATATACATGGTTCCTTTTTCTCTCACACTATATATTATTTCTGTGATGGGTTATATTGTTTCCGAAAGAAGTTTCAATTTTTTTCATTTTTTTCCACGAAAGAAATAAAATGTGGATTGTAGTTCATAAAGGTTTCTTATGAATTTTAAAATTTAGTTTTTTTGATTGATGGCTGGTTTGATATTTCTAAATCTGTGTACCAGAAAAGTGCGGCGGCTGATTGGATTCCAGAGTGCAGGTCTAAAATCCAAGAAGGCCCAAATGCGATTTATTTTTTATTTTTCGAGGTCCATACTAAAGATATGGCTGGTCCCGTCCAGGGAGAAAAAAGGCAATATGTTGTAACAACCTAGTGTTGTATTGTGATTTCTTGAAAAAATAGATAATCTTGCTGAAGGCCCAATTTAGTTGGATAGATAATCTTGCTGAACGGTGTTAGCAATTCTTGAGGGAGATGAACACAGCTCTGTGTAAGCTTAACTTATTTTTAATTTAGTGAAGTCGTGCCTCGGTTGGAACCCCCCACATGTAGGTCTTTTATGACCGAAATGGGTTATCAATTTCGTGTGTTTTATATTTGATCTCGCAGAGTGTGCCTGTTGTGTTTGATCGGTTCATGAACTGTCCTTTGAAAAATCTACGTTGGTGTTGTGTTTATCTGCGGTTCGTTTTTTGTTGTGCTTTTAATTGGTTGCTGCTTGATTTTTGGACGAATTTGAGGCCAACAATAACAAATTTGTGTGAGAGCTATATTGATTTCTTTTGGCTTGTCTGGCTTTCCAATCATTTGATTTGGGTTGATTATGATATCCCAATATTTCAACATTAACAAACCTAGGACACCTCTACTCAATATGCAGTAAGTACAAGTGCAATACTTCTGTTTTTCAATATACATGCTCCCTCTCTCACTCTCTTTAGCTCTCACTATATATTATTTTTGTGATGGATTGTACTGTTTCCCAAAAAGTTTCAAATTTTTTCATTCTTTTTCCACCGAAGAAACAAAATATGGTGATTTGTAGTTCCTAAAGGTTTCTTATGAATTTGTAAATTTTTTTTCCGACTGATGGCTGGTTTGATATTGCTAAATTATTTACGAGGAAAGTGCTATGGCTGTAAAGATCATTGCGATAAAGCAGGAAATCTTGCTGGCAACCGCTTCTCATTCTGAGCAGAATGCAAACACCCATCGGTCTGTCTGTATCTCTGTTTCTTATCCTTAAGTAGAAATGAACACTAATGTTTTCTGAAGCTATTCCCTTCCTCCTCTGTTGCTGAATATTTTCTTGGATGGACAGGCATTGTTTTTTCATGAAGATGGAGGACGAGAGCAGCCAAGACAGCACCAGTCCTGTCTTGTTTGTGCACACAAAGCCTAAGGATAGCACGCAGTCCTTGAGATTGATTTATTACATTTTCAGCAAGTCTACTCCAAAAAATGATGATCACAGACAGCCCTTACTGAAACCATTTGCAAGGAAATGGGGAGTGTTCGAAGATTATAAATAAACCCACCTCATTGCTTCAAAGATTCAATTTCAGAATAAGAAAATGTTATTTTGTCATTTTCCCAACACCTCCTTTCTTCATAATCGTTTATAGAAGAAGCTTCATTGACGTACTCAATGCACTCCATTGGATTCGTGATTTCTTTTGGCTGAATATCAAGTAGGCCTTAGTACATTGCGTGTTCCTAAAAGTGACGGGACATACGGTGGAACAAGGAAGCTTCGAGCACCGAAAACCATTATGAACTTGCATCCAGACCCTAGATATATGTATATAGTTGCAATCGGTTACAACTCGAAACTATATGCATTGTATTCAGCAATATATAAGTCGATCAGGACATTATATAATTAGTTGCGAAACTTTCTATTGTCTATGAAAATTGGTAAAATACCTATAATCCATAACTACTTGTGGTTATATATAAAATTGTTTACAAACTTTCAGTCATAGTTATAAATGATCACTATTAAAAATCTTACGAGAATAT